TCACACAGTGGCCGTGTCGCAGGTGTGGCCAGAGTTCACTAAACCCGGCTTGTTTACCTGACGGAACGGACGGGTATGCAAGAATGTATACCGGAGCCGAGAGAGCGAGGGCATCCTGGGTCCTTCCCCCCGCACGCGCTCAGAGGGAGGGAGTCGGACGGACTTTGGTGACAGGGAGACGAAAGGGGAATAGGGAATCGTGGAAGGGAATAGAGAAGAGCGTTACCCTTGAAATAACGGATTTGGATTTTTTTCTTGCGACCCGAATTTTTTTTTGCCAAAATAAAATGACATAAGAAATGTACAAAAAGGGATGTAATCATCTACCATCTACTTCAAGGCCCCACCAAGATGATAGCTAGCCTCGGTCACTATCTCCCTATAGAAAAAATATCGACGAAGAACATGAACAAAGAGTTTCCAAGAGAATAAGAACAAGAGCGGCGCAATGGAGGCCCGGGCACGACAGCACCTGGCGTACCCCGAGCGCCGACCCTCCCCCCCTCCCCCCGCGCCCTCGCTGCCCACGCGTCCTTCTGGCCAAGGACTCCTGGGCAACAACACGAAGATACTCACCTCCTTTGGGCTTGGTCTCGGGGTAGCACACGCGGAACAGGCCCTTGGTGCGGGTCCTGTAGAAGCCGCTGTTCTCGAAGTCGGTGGGCGAGATGTCCGACCGCGACAGGGTCTTCTGCAGGAGGGAGACGAAAAGGGGTTAATGGCGGCGGGCAAAAGACTCTACCGTATTAGTACTATGGTAGAAAACCCCATCCTATGCAACGTAGGCTTACTGAGAGGTGTGACTAAATAAACGGAATTCCTAGTTTCCAAAAACCTAGTTTGCGTATGGTGTGTTTTTTCTATAAAGGATGGGATAGTTTTGGTGATTCTGTAGGTCTCACGTGAATGACGTTTAACCTGGGCAAGATACGTAATCATCAAAATAGTATTACCTTTTTTGGATGTTATGAAACGGAGGTTTACAAGATATTTGGAGAAAAGATTACATCGATGAGCAGAATGCATTAGGGTATACACAACCGCACGAATACGGACATACATACAGACATAACGATAGGAAACACGGAAGAAGGAAAGAGTGAGACACAGAAAGGGGTAGAGCTAATACAAGGATTTGAAGGGTAAGAAAGAGAAAGAGGGATAAAAAATAGTGAGATAATAGGAAATAATAAATGGTTGAGCGAGCTGAGTGAGAGGCAGCAGCAGCCCACTTCCTTCCCATGTCTAGTCACACCGTTATGTGGCCAAACCTGGTCACGGGCAGGTACTCCTCATGAAAACAGAAAGAGAAAATTAGAAAAAAGATGAAAGAATAAGTAGAAACTAATTTCAAAAAGTAAGAAAGCAAGCAAAGACGAAACAGGTACTTTTGAAAGCCGTTCCCCTCTCTCGCTCCATCAACGATATCTGACACACAAAGTCTCGTCTCTCCGCCAACAAAACACTTATCTATGGACAAACAAAGTGTCCTATCTCGGCCTACGCTCTCCCAGGTACAAACAAAAGCAAACACTTACTTCGGGAAAGTAACAAACAGTCAAAACACAAACCGGACGCGTCGAGTCCAGCAGCTGTATCTCTTACAGAGCTAAAGTTTCAAGCAAGTTTTGACAACGGAAAAGAGAAAGATAGAAAGCTGGGTCACTCATCCTTACTCGATGAAATTTACTTATAATACATGAATATTTTTATAAAGGCCAGCAAAATAAACAGGCCGTTCTCAAAAGCATGATTACGCAATGACATTACAAAAGCGTAAAAATGGTCCTTCACACACATTTCCAAAGGTCATCCAAAATAATAACAATAAAATACTTATACAGTAAATGTCATGGATTTGTTTAACTCCCCGATAAACCGATTTCTGGCTGCCTCAAAATGTTTGTAATCTTCCAGTTTCACACAAAATACACTTAATATATAGATAGCTACAGAACATAAAAACTTTCTCCCTCTGAAACCAAAATGTCAACCTGTGAAAGAAAATGACCTGACCTTGTTTTGTATAGCGTGACCCCAGCCAAAAGAACGCACGGCTGCCGTTCTACTAAGGTCAGCCGCATAAAGAAAAATGTCAAGAAATTGTTTCACGTTTCCTTTTTCCCCTGTGCCCCCCTTCCCCCCCATCCCCTCCCCCTCTCCCTCCGGTCTGCAAGCGATAGATACGGGGTTGAGAAATAACCTCAAAGCTGTACGTTTTTTCTCTGGTTTTCTGGACTGAGGGAAGGAATTATGGCGAAATGGAAGGAGAATAGGGAGAAAGGGATAAAGCGAGGATTAGAACGCGGGGAGAGGAAGAAAGGGATAAAAGGAGAAATAGAAGGAGGGAAAGGGGAGGAATGGAGGGAGGGAAGACAGAGAGAGGGAAGAAAAGGGAAGCGAGAAGGGATGGATGGGGGGGGGGGGCAAAAGTGTGTGCACAGGAAGAGATCGACGGAGAGGAAAAGAGGAGGCAAAAAAATCACCAAAATGAAAAAGG